GCTTGATTATGTTGTATTTTTAATTATTTATTGGTTAAAAAAACCTTTATAATATGTTATAAATTAAGAATATCAAATTAAAGTTTTATAATTATAATATTAAATGTAAATTCTATTGCGTTATATGATAAAATTATAAATATAAATTATATTCAGTGGAAATTTTATGTATCGACATTCATGATTTTTGTTAAATGTCTTTTTTTAGTTTCAAATATAAATAATACCGTGTATATTCTTGGCAATGTTGAGTTTAATTCAATACTCGGAATCTGTATTCAGGCTTCTCACAAGGAACCAGTAGAGCCATCTGGCCTACGATTTACATTTAGCGGGTCTCAAAAATATTTGTTATACTGTATATTATAGGTTTCATTGTATTTTCGGTATACAGTATTAATTAAGGAAAAAATCTTTATTTCTTGGTATATATTTTACTGTACTGTACACTTTTTATATTTTGCTATAGTTATGGTCTTTAAAAGGATCCTAGAAATTACAATATTGTTTTAGACATCTACATTAAGTAATCTTTTATAAAAAGGATATCACAAATTCACGCTTGTGTAGGGTCTTTCTTGTATAAGATTTCTTAGATCCTTGCGGATACTGGATTCCGAATATTGGAGCAAGATCGCCTATTGACAGGCGTGTACTTGCGTTTAAGTTATAAAAAATAAATAAGAACAAGGCGAGCGTGGATTTTGCGAGACTTTTTATATGTTTCTATAACATAAAGTCTATATCACATTCAGATACGGTATTATTTATTTGGTACCCAAGGGTACTCAGTTGTGGAGGTCCCTCTAGTGACTAACGCTGTGCTCTCTACTTTCAATTTATATGATATTTATAAATGTAGTCTACTGTATTTATATAGTCTACTTGTTTTCTTTCGTTTCCCTGTTGTTTAATTTTCATTACTTTTATTTTTATTTATTGTTTTGTTGAGACTCCTGGGCATTATGTGCTGAGCGCAAGATGTTTCATAATGCGTAATGCTTATGATAATGGCCATTACTACATTCCAAGTAAACGATGTAAGTTAGATCGAATATTGAACAAGTGTCTGAGTTCCTTAAAAGCATGAAGTCCTAGGCAAAATCCGAAATAGCCAATGCTTATTAATTAATAAAATATGTCTTAGACTTAACTTTAAAGTTAAGTCTATTATTAAATAACACAAGTTTATGGAACCATTAAAGCGCTTTAATAAATTATTAAAATTTACAAGTCATGAAAAATCACCAAATGCTTTAATTTTTTATAAGCAAACTATTAATAAATTATTACATAAACGTGACTGAATGTGTTAAGTGTAATTTAATTAACGTTAGTGAAGTCAATACACATGATCTGTTAGTGTTAATAAATAAATAGCTATGAAATTTGTTTTTAGTTATAAATATACTTTAAAAAATTAATTATGTTCTATAAATAAAACAATAATATAAATTGTTTTACACATTCCATAATCTTCATCATATATTAATATATCAACTTATAGTGAAATGTTGATTATTTGTTAATAATTTCTTGCTAAAGTTTTATGCTTTAATCTTATTGTTATATTTAAATATAAATGCATAATTATACTTTATATGTTTCATAAATAAATAAATATATCTGAAGTTTAATATATAGATTTTATATAAAAATTTTCTAAAATGTTTTTTAATATTAGGAAATAAAACTAAATTAACAGTTATAATGAAATTTTTAAAAATATAATAGATTATATTATTTTACATTTATAAACACTGAATGTTTGTATGTCTGGAAATTTTGAATTTATAAAATTACAAAATATTAATTTTTATGACATTTCGATTGTGGATAGCGTTGTGTGTGGCGTTACTAATAACGATTACTTTTTATGATATTATACATCATGTTATAAATTGCTAACAACGATGAAGAGAGCATAAAATAAAGTTTATAATTTTATATAACATGTTGCAAGCTCTTTTAGGCTAATCTCTGAAAATTTTAATTCAGATCTTTGTCTCGCTCTCTCTTTCTCTATTTTGATTAATTAATTGTTCGTTTCAACTCACGTTTATACCTTCGAATACTTCAGATAGTGTTTAATCCAATCAGTTATCTGTTTTCAATTTTTAAATAACTCTGATTAAATCCTATATATAATTACCTTAAATTCTTTATTGCGATTACATTAAACTTTTTATCACAGTTGTCATAATTTTTTATTATAATTACCGTAAACTTTGCATTATACCTTACCCATCCAAAATAGCCTTTCTTTTTCTATTACTTCATAAATTGCTATTACTTTTTCTATTACTATTATAAAAATAAAGAATGATTTATCATCATTCTTTATTTTTATAAAATATCAATTATATCTTTTATTATTCGTTCTTTAAGCATTTTCAATCATATAATAACTAGTACCTATTACCAAATTTTATCAATACGATTTACAATCGACATATGACCTTCAAATTAAATACCCAATGACAGATAATATATGCTAGTGCCATTTTGTGATGTCCCACAACTCAACATTTATCACCTTGGTAACACATGACCATTTTGTGACCAAAATGATTGCGTGTGATGATGTTTTTTACGCATGCGTATATCAAAGATCAATTTTAAATTCGAAAATCTCACCTGTCTTTGGAAAGTACATAGTTTAACTTGTCTTCTATATTTATTCCACTTTATCTGTCAAAAGTGTATATATATGAAACGTTAGCAATGAAGTAAGTCTAATGCATTTTATCCTTCCAAATGTTCAATATTTTTTATTTTTTAAATCAGCTTGATTATGTTGTATTTTTAATTATTTATTTATTTAATGAATAAATAAAAATACAGTGAAACTTTAATTATATATATATTATTAAATTACAGTAAACTTTTTACTTCTTTCAAATATATAAATATACTTTGTGATTTTGCAAACTTGTGATTTATTTATATTTACAGTGTTTTTTTTTTAATTTTAAATATGGATTTAATATATTTTATTTTGTGATTTATAAATTAATTGTAACGCTTATTATTTAATATGCAGTTTTTTTTCTATTCTTATTAATTAATTCTTGTTTGTAGGAAATTTAAAGGTAGACTTGCTAATTGTAGTAGTTAATTAGTTTGAGTTAAGAGTTGAAAGTGTACATTTTAATTATTTTATTACAAACAACTGAGTATTGAATCGTTAGTTTAATTTGAAATTTATAGTTGAGCTTAAGTTGGAGTAAATTTTTTTACTCACATGAATTTGAATAACAACATTTTGTTTGTTAATGCAAGTATAAATTAAGGATTTGAAGTATAAATTTTAATTTTTATAATAAATAAAACTAAGCTACTCAAATTTTATGATTTTATTCAAAAATTTTACTTGAAATGTTTTTGTTTTTAATATTAAATGAGTTTCATACTTAAATATTTTCATCATCTAGACCTATATATAAACTCGAAGCATACCCCATTTTACGATGCTCGCTATAAATTTCTCGTTTTTACGACTTTTATTATTTATATCTACAGTATACAAAATACAGTACTTACAATCGAATATGTTTTCTTTCTACAAAATGATTTATGTAATTAAAATTATAAATTATTATGAACGGAATCTCAATTTATAACATTTAGCTTACGGGAAAGGGTATCGCATCGTAAGCGTATTAATAATTTTTCAAAAACCGATTGGATCGTAAAAACAAGCGTTTACTGTACACACAGGATTACCTAAAAGTCAATTGATATCTTGGTTAACTGACTTTTGTACCCGCCTTTATTTCTTACAAACAAGAAAGCACGATTTCTAATTAATTGGGTCATTTTTCTCGACTTTAATTATTATTCTATTAATATTAATATGTATTTTGAAATAAATTTTACAAATATTTCTGCTATTTTTAGCGAAAATAATACAGTACAAGCGCCTGAAGATGTTTGCAGAAACTTAAGCAGTTACTTAAAACATAAATTTGGACTTCCTGCAACAAGTGATGATATGAATGATCGTAATGCCAATGCCTTCATATATATTATTTTCGTTTTAATGTTTTATGCGTTAAGTTTGTTAATATTGTTAATTAAATATATGAGAAAAGAAAGAGAAAGTTTAAGACTCGATTATTATTATCAAGAATTTGTTAAAAGAGAAAGATTTCGAAGATTACCTTTATATGATACAACAGGACGTTTGCTTCATTATATACCTCATGTTCCAGCGGATAAAAACGAAGTTATGGATACTGAAAAGTAGTTTTATTTTTTGTAAAATATAATTATCTGCTATTGCAGATATTAAGTTATGTTAAAATATTAATTTTTATGACATTTCGATTGTGGATAGCGTTGTGTGTGGCGTTACTAATAACGATTACTTTTTATGATATTATACATCATGTTATAAATTGCTAACAACGATGAAGAGAGCATAAAATAAAGTTTATAATTTTATATAACATGTTGCAAGCTCTTTTAGGCTAATCTCTGAAAATTTTAATTCAGATCTTTGTCTCGCTCTCTCTTTCTCTATTTTGATTAATTAATTGTTCGTTTCAACTCACGTTTATACCTTCGAATACTTCAGATAGTGTTTAATCCAATCAGTTATCTGTTTTCAATTTTTAAATAACTCTGATTAAATCCTATATATAATTACCTTAAATTCTTTATTGCGATTACATTAAACTTTTTATCACAGTTGTCATAATTTTTTATTATAATTACCGTAAACTTTGCATTATACCTTACCCATCCAAAATAGCCTTTCTTTTTCTATTACTTCATAAATTGCTATTACTTTTTCTATTACTATTATAAAAATAAAGAATGATTATATTTATATTGTTTTGAAAAAACAGTGCCCAGATATTGTTTGGCCCCCTTACAACATTAAATTTTAGCGTCGCTTAACCACCCTTAATAATAGTTACGCCACNTGCGCGTAAATGATATTTTTTATTGGATAATAAATAATTTAAAATTAAACAAAAATAAACTATAATTTCTTAATTACAAAACTTTTCTTTGATAGATAAAGGTACTGGCAATAAATAAAGAACTACATTAGCTATCCACATACCACAAGCGAATACAAAACATATGATAAAATTCAATTCAAAATTCAAATCGTTACCATAAAATGATGAATTTATATGGTAACGTTGAGATAAATAATGTGTTCCGTTCAAATAAAGGCAACGTCCTGGAATATTATTGTTATTAGGACATGGAACACGATCGGAACCATTAAAATATGGTGCATGATCCAATTGAGGATGGTCAGCAAATTCGTTATAATTAAGAAATGCTCCAGCATATCTGTATATTATACCATAGCTAAGATAGTAAAGCATGTCAGGTAGCGATGATAGAGATCTAAAATACAAGAAATAAATACTTTCAAAACTCAAAAATAAAGATTTTATAATATAAGTTACGTCAATGTTTTATAGTAACACTTTCTTACCTTACAGTTCCACTTCCTAAAGTTATCTGTAAGAGTAATATATAAATGGAGGTGACGAACGAGGTATATGAATTTTTTATAAATACCATTAATGACATAGTAAAGTTCTCTGTAAATATGTAAACTGTCCATAAAACAGCACAAAATTTGCTCCACCTAATTAAGTCTTGTCTCATTCTTGCTAGACTAGAAACACAGTCGTATCAATATAATAATGTTACTTTAAAATTAAATTAAATTATAAATTATAAACTGTTTATTATAGAGTAAATCATTTTATAATTCAATTCTATAAAGGATTTACAAAAAGATAAGCGAATTTTTCGTTTTTTCGACCAGTTTTAGATGGATAATAAGAATTTTCTGTATAATAAGTATGGTAAGTTAGGATTTATATTTTAAAAAAGCTGAATTTTAAATTATAGATTTTGATTAAAGTTATGCTTACAAATAAATAATTGATCCTGAAGCCCAAATACTAATTCCACTTAAGATGAAACTGTACATAATTTGAGACAAAATAAATAAAGAACCATTATACATATCGTTCCTAGTTTCTTGATAGTAACGATTTCTATGAGGTGCATCTGAAAAAATGTATATTAAACTCTATAATAATTATCTCTTTAAAAAAAGTATATTATTAAATTACTTAATGTTAAATAAAAATTATCTTACATCCTACAGCTGTAATAGCAGCTGAGAGGAAGGTAACAGCCGTTAAACAATTGAAAACTAGACCATTTCGAGTAACAAAACTATGCTGATAACTATCAATAGGAAAATAGAATAAAAATAAAAAAGAAAAAAATAATGGAAGTATCAATAATCGAACAAATGCTTCTCTTAAGGAACGACTGTTGCAGCTTAATACACTTGCATAACTCCTCCTGTAATAATAACAGTAACCATTAATAAAGTAGAGACAAAACAATGATAAATTTACAGATTAATATTCTTATCATTATTACCTAATTAATGCAAAAAGAACTTGGTAAGAGGACGGTGAACCGTAAGCAGTTAATGGTAATTTATATTTAGTAGTTGTATGATCTGTCATTTCGGCTGGGGGATGAGCATATTTTCGAAATTGTGCACCTTCATTTTTAAATTTCTCAACTAGGCTAGCAATTTGACAACTTGAAGAAATAAATCGTTCTCTTGTTTGACGATCGACAGTCGAAAGACAAACTGAANTTATAGTGAAATGTTGATTATTTGTTAATAATTTCTTGCTAAAGTTTTATGCTTTAATCTTATTGTTATATTTAAATATAAATGCATAATTATACTTTATATGTTTCATAAATAAATAAATATATCTGAAGTTTAATATATAGATTTTATATAAAAATTTTCTAAAATGTTTTTTAATATTAGGAAATAAAACTAAATTAACAGTTATAATGAAATTTTTAAAAATATAATAGATTATATTATTTTACATTTATAAACACTGAATGTTTGTATGTCTGGAAATTTTGAATTTATAAAATTACAAAATATTAATTTTTATGACATTTCGATTGTGGATAGCGTTGTGTGTGGCGTTACTAATAACGATTACTTTTTATGATATTATACATCATGTTATAAATTGCTAACAACGATGAAGAGAGCATAAAATAAAGTTTATAATTTTATATAACATGTTGCAAGCTCTTTTAGGCTAATCTCTGAAAATTTTAATTCAGATCTTTGTCTCGCTCTCTCTTTCTCTATTTTGATTAATTAATTGTTCGTTTCAACTCACGTTTATACCTTCGAATACTTCAGATAGTGTTTAATCCAATCAGTTATCTGTTTTCAATTTTTAAATAACTCTGATTAAATCCTATATATAATTACCTTAAATTCTTTATTGCGATTACATTAAACTTTTTATCACAGTTGTCATAATTTTTTATTATAATTACCGTAAACTTTGCATTATACCTTACCCATCCAAAATAGCCTTTCTTTTTCTATTACTTCATAAATTGCTATTACTTTTTCTATTACTATTATAAAAATAAATTTAATAATTATAAATAAATTTTTAGTTTTTGCATTTCCTTTTGCTCATAGATCAATGATTAATATTAATCAAATTAACTATCTTTAATTTGTTTTCGTTTTCTAATTCTGAAGATTAATTAGGGCAGTCACTCTTCTAAATCAGAACATTTTTTTATATTTATTCTTATTCTTTCAAGTGACAAAGATTTCTTTACTGAACCTGATATGCTCAATGAACTTTAGAAAAATAATTGGATCGAAGACCTTGTTTTTGATTACTAAAGAATTTAAATAAGAAATGTATGCCAGATAAATAATAAATACAGATTATAAAAGAAAGCAAAATACTACGATAACATTTAGGTATATATATTCTATGTTTTGGATCTTCCCTTATAAGTTTAATTAAAAGACGGAAGAAAGAAGTGCATGACCGTTTCTATGCTACACATAGGAAATTCATTCATGTGCTAGACTATATCCATTGAAGCATAAAATTTCATAGACGTAAATGGAATTTGTAAAATCATACGTATATTTTTTGACAAAATTTTATCCAAAAATATCTAGAAAATAATTCCGGTTTGAAAAGAATTTTTGATACGCTTTCTCACTAGAAATCAACATAGTTCGGATCTTAAAGCATTTCTTCCTGAACATCCTTCGTATTGCACGTTTTATTTTACTGTATGTTCATCTTTATGTTAATTATAATACTTTTTTAATTCATTAAAATGTTTTTGAATTTCTTAAATTAAACATTGATTTAGTTGAAACTTACCTGTATAAACAATCTCTCCAAAACATAAATAAGTGACACGATCTAAAAATGGGAATATATCAGATCGTGGTTTTTCTAATGTTAAAATGATCATTCGATGGTATTTTTTAACATGATTTGAAAGAATTGACATTATAAAATATGCATTTAAAGGATCTTGATTTTGGGTTGGATCTTCTAAGACTAAAAGTACTAAATAAAAACAATTTTTAAAATAAATTTACCATAGATCCTATTATAAATTATTATTATTACCTGGATCACGAACTAGCTCAACACCTATAACTGTTCTTTTATATTCACTAGAAGCGAGTGTAGAAATTTCACGATTGGAGACAGAATTTAATGCTAAATCTGCCAATACTTCTTTCACCTATAAGAATGATTTATTAAATATTAATAAAATTTATAATATAAATTCAAATTTATTGAGAAAATATAATTATGAACTTGAACCAGATGCAATTTTTCGGATTTAGTGGTTCATCTTCAGTGATGTAGCTAATAGACCAAAACGTTGCATCTGGCTCCTATTCATTATACCGTTTACTCTCTTTCAGCATCACCATTCATAACATGGTAGTTTCGCTATAATGAGGAAGTTAATAAGGTGTTCCGGGTTATAGCTCGTAGGCGTTACAGCACAAGCTGTTTACATCCAAACATATGCCATAGCATCTGTTTGGTAACCAAATAATTAAACTTCACAATTTTAGGAATACAGTAGAGCGTCGATTTTCCGAATCAATTGGGGACTGGGGTTGTCCGGATAACTGATATTTCGGATAACTGATTTACGTACGAAAAAATAGTTTAACGTATCCGATGTCGAAATTTTTCTCCGTTGCGTGTCGCTTCGCGTTGAATTTTCGTCGATGTTAAGCCTAACAAAGACTATTGTATCGTTAAAAATTATTTTTTTATTTTGTACAAACAAAATAAATATATTGAAAAATATAAAAATAATAAAAAATTATACTTCAGATGTTAATTTAGTATCAAAAACGTAAAATATTTGAGTAGCCGAAGACATAGCCAAAGATTGAAGCGCCACAGCACTGGCGTAAATTTAAATTTGCCAACTGTTATTCTTTCGGATGATTGACGTTTCGGATGATTGACTTTCGGAAAATCGACGCTCTACTGTATATATATTTTCAATTAGTATTAGGAAATTTTTATTTTAAATTTTGGAGAAATAAATAATTTTTGAATTTTTATTATTAAATTAGATTTTGAGAAAAATTCAATCCTTAATAACTTCTTAATAGTGTCACATATGATTGCATTTTAGATCAGAGTCGTTTTACTCCACTTCCTTTCTATAAATGGAAAGCTCACCTTATCCATCTTCCTGTTATAAAACAAAATGGATACGTAATATTCTGTCTAAATGTGACACTATATCCGGATTTCATATAGGTTACGTACCCTGTTTCTTCTGACAGATTTTGATACTTTGGAGCTCACAGTCAATTGCGAAGAATATTCCAAAGTCTGTTTAACAGTGAGTCCTGGTAAAAGATCTGCTCTTTTGGGGATGTAGGCACATTGTTCTCTAAATATTTCCTTCCTCAGCGGGGCATCGTTGAGGAGTACTTGACCCCTTGTGGTTCCTTTTGCTCTGCATGTGATCACATCTAACAAGGAACGTTTTCCACTACCTGAAGAAAAAAAGTCGTTTGAAAATTATAAATGATAATAATATTAATATTTAAATTAGTAGTATATATACCTGTGGATCCAAGAATTGCCATTAATTCTCCGGTATGCAGTTCTAACGTTATATTATGTAAAATGATACCAGTTGGTTGAGTGCCAATTAATTTCTGTAGGAAGCTTCCGGGCTCCACGTGGCCAGTGTAAGTAACATCAACAAGTTCAAAAACATGATCACTAGCAATCATTTTACTGAAAAATAAATCTATTTTAAGTTATTTTTAAAAAATGTATATTGAAAGAAATGGCTTATATTCATACCACAATGATCTAGTGAACTATTTTAGAATTTTTATGAGTTATGATTACCGATCGATAACTGTCAAAATTAAACAAAAACTTATTATCATCTTTTACTTGAATTCGTAGAAAATGAACGTCCCCATTGTGACCAGGTCAGCAACTCTTGTGCAACGTCACACCTGACAGAATTGTACGGTCACAGTTTATGAACATTCTTATCATAGTTTTCTTTCTATCTGGAGAAATTAAAATATTTCCGCCTGCTTTAACGCACGAATGATAAAAACCCTAGTTTAATTTTTTGCAAATTTTTCTCTAATTTATTTAAAATTGACATTTTTTAAAGCTTATAAATTTACGTTAAAATTAACGTTAACTTATCTACGCTCTCCAATAAAATAATTTATCAATGTTAGTTAAATAATAAGCTTATTCAATTATTTATATGTAACGTTTTGAGTAAATTGTAAGATGAAATACGATATATTTTATTACTTTAATAACAGCTGAACTCGTGTCTACATTATAATAAAATTCTCATTCAAAACAATGAACTTCCAACTTAGTGTTTGAAAATAGACATAATTATAAGTTACAGACTGAATCTAACGGACGATTTCAAATCTTCAGATCTTTTGGAAAAGGCTAAAACTTTTCTATAATTAATAATAGAACTATATGTACAATAAATAATAACTTTCATAATTTAATTTGAGATATATTATTAATAACCGCGAAGTCAGAACTAAGAGAGATGATATCTAAATGCCTGAACTAACCACAAATATGGATCCTTGTGTATTCCTATTATCTGTCCTTTCAGATATCCGTCTTTCGTTAATTTAGAAAAGGGAGTTATACACGATAATATATAATTAGCACAAAGAAACTTCAAATGCAGAGGTAGGGTCAGATAGAGAAGGCATCAGCTTGGTTCCTGTTTTGGACATAAAAAGACTCAAAATTTAGATGTTTTTCGTGTTTATATGTCTTTCAGAGAAGGGTGGCGTCCTTACATTATCACTAATCTTGGCTCCATATCATCTAAGACCCTGTTCAATGGGTAGGAAATGAGAACGTTTCTATATTTTATATTTCAATAGAAATATTGGGCCTAATATATAACATAAAAAGTAACGTATATTTTTCAAATTTATTGAGAAAATATAATTATGAACTTGAACCAGATGCAATTTTTCGGATTTAGTGGTTCATCTTCAGTGATGTAGCTAATAGACCAAAACGTTGCATCTGGCTCCTATTCATTATACCGTTTACTCTCTTTCAGCATCACCATTCATAACATGGTAGTTTCGCTATAATGAGGAAGTTAATAAGGTGTTCCGGGTTATAGCTCGTAGGCGTTACAGCACAAGCTGTTTACATCCAAACATATGCCATAGCATCTGTTTGGTAACCAAATAATTAAACTTCACAATTTTAGGAATACAGTAGAGCGTCGATTTTCCGAATCAATTGGGGACTGGGGTTGTCCGGATAACTGATATTTCGGATAACTGATTTACGTACGAAAAAATAGTTTAACGTATCCGATGTCGAAATTTTTCTCCGTTGCGTGTCGCTTCGCGTTGAATTTTCGTCGATGTTAAGCCTAACGAAGACTATTGTATCGTTAAAAATTATTTTTTTATTTTGTACAAACAAAATAAATATATTGA